TTCCGCAAGAGTTTTTAAAATTTGCGTTCCGGTGGCCGCAAAAGGCATTGTGGCGGATTTGAAAGGAACGCAAAAAGTCTACCCAATTGTACAGCCTGCCGAAAATTACCCCCAAAAACAAGGAACGTGGCCTCGGTGGGAATTCCCAAAGTATGCTGGAGATTGGAACAAGGTCCTTCGGCGGCCACTCGAAGATTGGACGTTAGTTTATTCCTTGAGGAATATTGGCTTTTGGAAAAAGGGGCAGTTCCTCGCGATTTTGAGAAAACGGCAAAGTCAGTCTTCAAAAAATGAATGAATGAATGGAACGTTTACTTTGACTATAAAAGGCAAATATGGGGCACTACGTGCAAGCCCGCAAAAAAGCTGACCGCATTTTCGAAGTCGGTTGCTATTTATAAAGGGAAAAACCGGGGCGTTAAGGAACGTGCCATACTTTTACTTTCCTCGCCGCCGTTACGCAATTTTCGGTGAATCGGAAAAACTCGGGAAAATGTATGTTAACCTAATTTTTTTCGGACATTTTCTTACTACGGTAGGCAACCTTCGCCACGCTGAATTCCCTACGCACGGCGGTTATTAACAATGAGCGCCCCTGATCCGTCCACATGCCATTTAATTACCATCGTCAAAAGAGCAGGAATGCGTTCGTGAAAAGAAATGTGAGCATCATTATTATTTGCAGATTCCTTAGGTGGTTTTGGTAGATGTTTATAAGATTTTTCAAGCATTAGTGTCCTGCCTGAGTCAGTGTGTTAATGCAGTCTATTGATGTGCCCGTTTTTAGCCCTGCTATGTTGTTCAGAAATGGAGCTAATGCTAGCTAGTTAGCTAAGTTAAGCTATTCAGTGATAGTGTTTGGATGAGATGCTAACTTAGCCTTGATTAGACGTTTAGTTTATTTAATAAAAGAGCACATGTGCAATGTGAAAAGTGACCGTAGATAGATTACTTAAGTTGCAATTTGGTGCTATATATATATTTTTAAATAAAAAAAACTTTAAAAAACACCTTGAATTTCAGGCGGGTCGCAGCGCCCCGCCAAGACAATGGTAGGGGAAACACTGACTTCCTGTCTCCGTGTCAACTCTCTAACCAGAGTGCTGTTTTGGATGAAGCGGCTCCAGCACAAACATCACAACACATACGATTCCCCAATACAATGACTATCAGTTTCATTCTTACTCATGAAAGAAAGAAAAACATTCCCACCATTTCCTCAGGCCAATGTTGAAAGTTTGGTTGTTCATAATGCACAATTTGTATAAGGTTAAAGTTGTGTACACTGTTAGCTAACTTGCAAATCTCAAATTTAAATAGACACAAATTCCGAAGACAAAACAGAACTGAATACTACTTTATTCCATTTTGTGTTTATTTTATTTTCATCATCTCATTATAGTGCATATAACGAAGCCACAATCTTGTAATAAATCTCCAATGATGACTTTTACAGAAGAATGACAACTGCTTGACAAAGTGCTCTGCAAACGTGAAAAGGTCCTATCATATACAATAATGTGATGTGCCCAGTGCTACATTTACAAGGTCTGCGAATAAGCTTATGTGCATCTCACAATTAACGTGACATAGGCTACAGTGTTTTCATTGGTCTGATTACCTTAACCAGCGCAGGAGGAAAGTAAAGATGTCTGTATGCACCTTGCTGTTTGAATCATTGAAAAGCTTTGTCATCACCTAGTGGCGGCACAGTTCCCTTTAGTTTATTTTCTGTATCTATCCAGCAAATTGACGCCCCCCCTGTTATCATCTTAAACTGTCAATCCTATGCTGAGTCACAGAGAATGAGCTTTTGGTTGATTTACAATACTGGGAGTTAAAATAAGGACAGGAATGAGATTAAAGGTTCAGCTTAAAAAGAATATGCAGTGTGAGAAATATAGGCTTTTTTCACCTTTTCAGAGAGCTATTTTTCAAGGTTTCAAGGCTTTTATTGTCATGTGTGCATAGCTACGGTGTAGTTATGACAATGAAAATCTTAGGTCACAGGCATTTTTGTGACTGTGATTGTGTCGTCATTGTGCAACATGCAGTCTTGAATCTTTATGGATGTTTAATTGAGATCAAAATGAAAGCCTTGTTCAAATATGAGCGTGGTCCAAGCAAGGAAGGGCACACACACACTGGACTTTGACACCACAACAATGTTATAGGTGTAGATGAAGGCTGTGTTTGAAGATGGGATCGAACCGAGAAAGTGCGCCAGAATTAATTTGGTTTGGAAGAGTGGTAGGGTCAACTATAGCCAAGTTTTGGGGGCTCTTATTGAAGACCAGAAGAGGAATTCAAAATGTGATTAAGGTTGGGGTATGCTAATGCATTTGAAGGGACTTGATTCAAGACTTGGCTGTTCATACAAATAAATCCCACTCTGATACCTGCTCATTGTTACCCATACATATTGTAGGCTTTATAGATGTGGATATAGTTTTATAAACAGCCTCTTCTTCTCTCTAAAGAGGACGTTGCGACATTGGACACTACCTGACACTGCACCTGAGGAGATTTGGATATCCTGTCCACCCCTCACTGTTCGGCATAGGAACAGGATGGAAAAACCGTCGTGGCCTAAGCACAAAATGCACGTACTGATCTTGGCATCGACTAAGGTGTGCTATTCTCCCATTCTGGTTCTCAGTGTGATCCATCTGTTCATCCTAAACAACCACTTCTCTTTCGTCGAAGTATCATAAAAAAAAACGAACCTATATGTGAAAATCCAAACACTGGAATTCATTCAATAGCCATAGGAGGTAGAGAGTTGAAAGATGGGCTGTGCTTGTGTGTACTTATCATGGCAGATGTCTGTGTGTGTGTGTGTGTGTGTGTGTGTGTGTGTGTGTGTGTGTGTGTGTGTGTGTGTGTGTGTGTGTGTGTGTGTGTGTGTGTGTGTGTGTGTGTGTGTGTGTGTGTGTGTGTGTGTGTGTGTGTGTGTGTGTGTGTGTGTGTGTGTGTGTGTGTGTGTGTGTGTGTGTGTGTGTGTGTGTGTAGGGGGGTAGGCGGGTGCGGAAGCAATTTCGTTCTGCTCTGTTTGGCAGTGCATCAGTGAACATTTTTCAGTTTCCCTATCGCAACAGCTCCCTCTCTTCAACACTCGCCCATCTATGTCCATCTACTGAATCCCATCACACACTCACTCTCCCTTCCTCTCTTGTGGCTTCCGCTGAGGGTAAGGATTTGAAGTATAGACTTAGTTTTTGGGAGGACCATTGATGGGGCACAGTGGGACAGTGCACACAGCAGGGGCTCAGATCAATTTACTTCAGATTTTATTGAGTAATGAGTGAAACTGCAATGTTTCACTATAGGAACAGAGCATTTGGTCTCAATTATTTCACAATGTATTTGACATAATCCCATTTAGAAATGGACAGCCAGCCCTCCGCAGGCAGTGTTAGGTTTTTATTTTATTGTAAAGGAGACAGGAGTGAAAGCAATATTCGGCATTTAGACTGGTAGAGGCATTAAAATCAAGTGGTGCAAAGGCAGTGTGAAAACGAATGCGTGCATCAGAGATTCGTATGGAAAGGGGAAAGGAAGAGAATACAATGGAAATTGAGAGACACTGTTAAACAATGGGCATTTGGAAAAAATAGGACTTTTTAGTGCTGAGAAGGGGGGCAATGCAGCAGCAGATGCCATTGTCTGGAGCATATTTCACAGTATAACAGTAAGAGGATTAGCCACCCACTGTGCACACGCATACACACTGCCCTGCTGGCCAACATGCACCCAAATAACCCACTGACATATAAAACCCACCCAGAGAGAGAGATTCTTGGACATGTTCACACACATTAGCTGTAGTGTAAAATGGAACATATTGACTTGCAGTGACAACAGACGCTGCTTAAATCCCACTCAGCCCCTTTCTTCATCAGCTATAGAAAGGTGAGGGTGGACACTGGCGATTGTGTGTGTGTGTGTGTGTGTGTGTGTGTGTGTGTGTGTGTGTGTGTGTGTGTGTGTGTGTGTGACCGAAGGCA